AACAACGGAGATTATATCTAGATCATACGAATAAATTGCACTGCAGTAGAAAAAAACAAGAATAAAAAGAAAAGAAAAAAAAAATCGATAATGAGTAACAGCATTATAATACTGCACAGTTATCTAGGCACGAATGACAGAAGATAGAAGAATTATCTCCTTAAGAATAATCAATTGTAGTGTACAATAATATACAACATTGTACTTCGGACATATTAACGCACATGCTTCTACATAATGACCTGTATGCTTGTACACTTGTGATAATGACTTTCCTCAGTGGAGAGTCTGTTGTAAGGATCAAATTAAAATCTCGAAACAGACAATTAAAATCATTCCGTCATCATCATCTTAATTTTCTCTCCTCTCTTTTTATTCGTCTTTGTTTTTTTTTATTATTATTTATTATTAGACTTTTATTAGCGTAATTTCGCTGATATAAGCTGCGTTAATCCAGTCCCGTCATTACTCTAATATTATTTACTTCACTATTCAGTTAATTACATTTTGGATATTGTATTAGTGATTGTCGATCGTGGGAGATGTTGTTCTTGTTGTTCTTTTGATGATGATTATAGGAAAAAAATATATGTGATGCTATTTTATAGTTGTTGTAATTATAGTGATAACAATAATTGCAATGGTGATGATGATGTTGTTGTTGATAATAATACTAATGATGATACGAATGGCAGTACTAGCAATATTATTGATGATAACCGAAATGGCGGTAGTAATAATGATAATAATATGATAATGATGATGATGATGATGATGATGATGATGATGATGATGATGATGATGATGATGATAATGTTGATTACTACTGTTATTATTATTATTGTTGTTGTTACTTTTATTGTTGTTGTTGTTATAATAACAGTAATGATATTAATGATAAGGGTAATGATAATAATACTGATAAGTTTAATGATGATATTAGTAGTGATAATAATAATAATAATAATATTATTATTATTATTGTTATTATTATTATTATTATTGGTATTATTGTTATTATTAT